TAATACAAGTGCTTATACAATAAACAGCCATACACATATTATTCAACAAACAATTGAAAAAGATTCAATAATCAAAAAAATCTCACAATCAGGTGAGGTATATCAAGAGTGCCTACCAACTCAACTTTTATTTGAGTTTGAAACATCGTATCATATTTTAATATTTTAAACATGTCCTTTAGAATGCACAAATACGCTTTATCTCATATTAGCAATCGAAATATAATATAGTATCTAAACGTGAATGATGATAAGATTACTCAGTAGTATATACGTACAAACTGAATACAATATGACAATGTTTATGAGCGATGTATAAGCGTCAAACGTAATTCTAAAGCTCTTTCTGTACACGCGTTTCCTTAATATATTTTAATAGTGTATAGAATTTGGAATTTTCATTAAAACTTTGAAATCAAATTAAAAAAATTATCATGATATTAAATTTTAATTTTAGAAATTATTAATTATATATAAAGTGTTAATATATTCATGTGATGTAGAGGCTAAAACAAACATAAAAATTGATATATAAAAATGTCAGTTGAAGTTTATTTTATATTATGTTATAAATAATTAAAGTTTGCGATCGAAATTTTTAAATAAATAATACAGTGTATGATAAAGAATTGTCTCACTTCATCTGATGTAAATTTTAATTGTTTATAACTTAATGAATATGCTTCAACTGAAATTTTTACATATCAATTTTTTAATTTGATTTTTAAAATCTCTAAAGATATTTCACAAATATATTAATACCTTAAATAATATTCATTTTTTACAATTTAACTTTTATTACCAATTATATTATATTTATTTTGTTTTAAAGCTAAAAAAAATTAATAAAGTATGTCTTTCTTAATTATTTAAGTAAATTTAATTTAAAAAAAAATACTGCTTCCAATTTGTTCATTGTTGTTTCATGTATTGAATATTTTTTCAAAAGTATAATTGAAATAAATTAAAATATCGTCATTTATAATTAGACATTAAAATATTTAACAACATGAATCACTAATTCATGTAAAAGGAGTTAAACATGTTTGTCTTGTTTTAAACATATTTTCTTGGAGAAAAAATTAAAAATGTTAATTTTTTTATTTTAGTAAAATACAATACTTCCTCTATTATGCTAAATATGAATATGAAATATGAATTATGCTAAATATTTATTAATTATTAAAATGAAATTTAATATCAAATTACATAAAATCAAATTTTTTTTTATCCATAAAAATATACATTTAAACGCGTGCACTAAAAGATGCCTAATTATACGCACAAGTTTATAATTATGGTCGTTTTAATTTATAATAACATGATGGTAATGCCCGATAAAATTCGATAGATGAATGTCGAAGCTTGAAATCTCATGATTTATTTCAAAGGTTTACGATATGAATTTATTTCGTTATTCGAATATTTTCAAAAAATTATTGTATTAGATATCAGCTTACGTCACCCAACTATCTGAGATTCCTCCGCGCATTTTTTTTCTATATATAGAACATTTGTATCAAGAAGTGATTCAAGTGATCTTTGACTAGATGGCGATCTTTTCGAAAATTGCGCGTACAATAATTAATTAAGAAATAAAATCGTCTTATTAGTAATAATCTCATTGATTTCTATCTCTACATATAACTGTGTAATATAACATCGGGAAACTATGTGTATCATAAAGGAACTCTTAGCTGTTGATTATAATAGTAGCTAAAAGAGGGGAATTTTTTGACTAGCACTACCGGTATATGTTGATCAAATAGCATTTACGAAAAGATTGCATCAAAAGAAAGTCACGCATCATGAAATGTTCAAAACTCCATTTAATACAGCGCGAGAAGAATTTTAAGAAATGGGTGATACCATGCATACCGCGTCACCAATCGATAACAAAATGAGAATCGCCAAGAATATATTATATATTGTTTCATTTAGAATTACTATTATTATGTGTAATAATTAATATATTTTCATAAAAAGAATCTACTATTCTTAATAATTTGAATTAAAATGAATTCACGATTTAAATCGTGATTATTGAATAATTTTCGATGTCTCATGGTTAAAAATATAAGCGCTGATCATTTTCAGTCGCTACATTCAGCCTCCTAATAAAATAACATCTATAAAAAGTCTGAAAATCAACAAAGATGTATAAATTCACTAAAAACAAATAAAGAGGTATAATGCCAAAGAGGCCATTTTCTAATGTCTTTTTCTTTACAATCGCTTAAAAGCAACACTTTCTCGCGGGAATTGCATAATTTTCCCGTTGTAATACTCAGAATTTTATGTTCTGCATAATTTTTCTTCATTATCCATAATGTTGATACTAATTATTTAGTCCAATGTATCTGGATCTGCTAAAAATTTTTTAAAACACATAGAAACTAATTGTAACATAAAAAAATTAAAAATATAAAAATAATTACTAATTAATATCAACCTGGAGAAGGAGATCCTTTAACCCTGCAAGTGTTATAACTTCCACAATTCAAACATTTCAAACCTACAATATGGAATTTTACTGTTGACTCCTAAAAAATTGTTTGATTATATTTATCATTTTTAAATTACATAATTCAAATATTTAAAATAAGATGCTTCTTTTACCTCATGGCAGTCTTTGCACAGAATATCAACCTTATAATCCCTATATTCTTCTGGCATTGGTGTTGATGATACTTCCATATCCAAAAATCTCCATAAATCAGTCATATCTAGAAGGGATACTTGGCAAGTTGGACATGCATAATGTCCTGAATGTAACAATTCTTCAAAGCATGTGCGATGAAGTAAATGACCACAGTTTGGAATGTGACAAGGTATACGACTTGTGTGAATATCCTCAAGACAAACTGGACAATTTGCATGAGAAACATTTTCTACACACTGAAAATATGAAACAAAGTATTGATTTTATATGAATTATTTTCTATAATTATATTTAAAACTGAAACTTCTTTTTATCTATTACTTCATCAAATCAAGTACATGTATTTATTACAGTAAATTAATAAAAAATTGTTTTAGCCAAGTATATCATACAGAATAGAAATACTTTCATTGACATTTAATCAAAATTGATACATTACATACCGTGTGTCCGTTTTGTAATTGAACTGGTAAACACATGTTGCACTTGGCACAGTGGAAAAATCGGTCGCGACCGCCGACTCTACATATTCCGCAACCATCGCAATGATACTGATTCTTGTCCTCATCATCAAATAAATTGCACTCGAGACATGTATATTTACCGAATCGACAATGACAATTTTGGCAAGTAGCTTGTACTGGTTGACGAGTATCACATAAAACGCATATCAGTTCTGTGACTTCTTTTCTGTTTACTGTATGAGTCTCTTCTTTATCGTGGCAGAATCGACATGTGTATACCTTGTTGCAGCATGGTGTCTAAAAAAACAATAAATATTATCCGTTAATTTTGAAAAAATTACATATATTTTTAAATTCAAATTTTCAATTAAAATGCTAGAAAAGTGTCATCGATGTTTCTTGGACACTTTAGAAAACGAAGGTCTTAGATAATAATCCAATTAGCCCCCATATGAATCCATCCTTGATCCCTAACCCTTTCGATGCAGCAGACGCTTATAAGCGTTCGGCAAAACTGTTCGACAACGTACGGTGATCAGCGTGCAGAGAATATGATAACATACCATTATGAAACTCGTTCCGCACGTGATGCTAGTACGTTCAGCGACATCGAAAGAATTACTCACATCAAGTTAAAAAAACATTTATAGTTGTCGACAACTATATGAATTTTTCCATTATTAAGAAAATCTATAATGATTCATATAAAATTTTTCCATGCAATAATGATTGGTTGTCGAAATGATGGAATGTTTTAATGTTAACATTTTAATAACCGACTCAACATAGTGTGTAATTGATTTTTATCATGATTATTGAATTTCTATTAGATGGCGCACATTCGCATCTTCCACGTGCTATCGTAACACGTGTTATAACCATTTTAATATGACTTTATAGGTTTTTCACTTGAATTATTATTTTATATAAAAAATTAATGAAAAATATCAATTTTTATGAATTAAAATTTCATAAAAATAATTACTATTTATATTGAATTAAGTAAAAGTTCAATAAAATGTCATAACAAAATCACGTTAATTTATCGACATGTCATAAATTTTAATGATTTTTAAATATCATTATATATATTATAAATATAAGATAAAAATAAGATTTTAAATAATTTTTTCTTATACATATAACTATCACTTTTAATTTATATATATATGACAACATGCATTAAATGTGATTATAATTTACCATTCGGCAATCGGTATTTAAAATGTACTATGGATCAAAAAATGAATATTTCTGCAGAATGTTCAAACATTCAAATGTTAGTAATTATTTTTTGTAAAGTTGTTTGTTTAGTCTTGAAAAGTAAAGCCAACCGATAGTTTTATACGATTATATATATATATTTAGTTGTTCTAAAATCTTGTCTTCTATAACATTTAAAAATTATTAAAATCTACAGACATATATATCGATAATTTTAATAGAGAGAATTACTTAAGAGTCATAAATTATTTAAGTTAAAATTTTATATAGCAAAATTATTTAATGCAATTTTTAAATATCAATGATTTTTGAATTTTTGAAGAAAAATTATTATTTCAAAGTATAATTAAAATATATTACTGATTTACTATGTATAAATGGTTTGCTTTTTCAGTAAGATATAATAAATGCATGTTTTCTCGATCATAAGATATAGATTATTCACGGTGCTTACTTGAATAATATTTGAATATTTGAATAACAAAAATTCAAGTGTCTTATCTTTATGCGTTCAGGTAAACAAGACAAATCGTGTAAGCAGACAAGTAAATCACAAATCTGATATTTTTCATTGCAAAATACGAAATATGTATTGAAAATATCCATGAAAAAAAAAGTAAAATTATAATTATACTTTTTTTCAGACAATTTAGAAAAACTAGTAACTGGTAACAGCACATGACATTTGACTTATCGCGGCAATTGGTAAGCAATGCTGTGAGAGGGCGTTTCATTACACAACATATGGCTGAACTTCATCGATTTGTTTGCTACGTACATACATATATATATGAAACGCATGTCGCGTTTACAATGAATAAGAAAAGCTTGTGTACAAGCGATTTTGGTGTTGGTCGTTAATTGTAAGAACGCTATGTGCGTCGTTTATTTTAGAAACATTTACTCAGAATTATTGATTATTCAAGTTCAAGAATAGTTTTTAAGGTATCGAAACTTTTTATTTTCAACTTTTTGTTATAGTGCGTTATAAACATTCAAATAGACTACTCTATGAATGCTTTTCGAATTTTATCTGTTGTTTTAGGCGGCGCTCAAAACGCTTCTTATGAAATGTAAATTCGGTTTATTAGTTGAGTGAAGATTCGTTGAAATAACCGACTACAAATCTATAATTGTCAACTATTAATTTACCATGCAGATTTCTTAAAATATTCGGACAATCAAATTTATTCAGTGATTTTAAATAGGATTACAATTATGATAATATAACGCAATCATATAAATAATAAATCGTTATTGACATTTTATAATATTCGCTCGCAAAAATCATATTATAAAAAGTTTTATAAAAAGTTTTATATTTCAATCTCATATGAAATCTTTCGTTTTTCATTGATTAATTTGAAATATATACATATATCCGTAGGGATGCTGTTATGCGAATTAATTGAATTAACTGTCAATCGGTGACGTACTTACAACCACTTAACGGTCCAATTAATAATATACATGAAAAAGATCTATAACTCGTTATATTGTTACTAGAGAATTAATCAGAAACTTTGATAAATATATATATTTATGATGATATAAAATAGGAAGAATTTAAAAATTAATAAAATCAAAATCGTCGTTCGTTGTAACAAATTCAAAAAATGATTTATATGAACATAGAGGCAATATTACAAACGGTCTTTAAGAAAAGCATGTTTTTTTTTTGTAGTTAAAATGCACGAATTGATCATTAAACATCTGCGTGATCAAAACCGAAAACAGAGAGATTATACATGTACTTGCAAGAAAAAACCGATTGAGATACTTACAACAAATTTAGATTTTCGTTTATAATGCTCGCAGCCGTAATCATCATCAGCAGTGGCTTCCAAGGGTTCCTCCTTTGACGTCGACGCACGATCAGCCACAGTGCGCGCTTCGTCGTTATTCTCCATATCTTTCGATGATCCTAAATTCCTACCTCTTTCTCCTCCGCCGCCTCCTTCTCATCGACTCGCACGTCCTTTTCAGATTTTCTTGTGCCGTATCCGATTAACACTATCTCGGCTACAGTTTGTTTGTTTAATTAACACACTAGCGGCGATTCAAAAACGGTAGAAAAAGAACACCGACGTAGAACGTTCGGATCACGCGCCGACAAGCGAGCAAGGGCTGTTTATTCTGTATGAATAGGCAGCCCTCAACCCGAACCAATAGGAAATATTTCAAGTCTCATATGTCTGATCATCAGAAGAAAATTGAATCGTGCCATCATTAGCAGTTAATGTATTACAACACGTCTCTACGTCGCGAATGTTTCGAAGAAATTTCACAATCCGTTCCCTAAATCGCAGGATTTTCGTTGCACATCTGATTGTAAGAAACGATAGCTTTTGTTTGTTTGTTACAAAACTGCATTTGGCCGAATAACTATCATTTCTTGGAAATTTCGAAGAAAAATGAATCGACACTCACTACTTCTGACACTTCTCCACTTCGTTGTACTATCACCACGGTGTAATGATTACAACGGCAAACGATGTTCGGAAAAAAGGATGCAAAACTATGGCCGGAAATTGTGACTCGATGAAGTACTACGTCGCGTTTATACATATCCGACCCGCGAAGATTTAAATATATTTATAATGCAAGCAATTCAATAATGTTATTTTGTACAATCTAAATTATTAACACGAAATAATAAGTAATAAATAAATGAAAATTCGGTTTTTGTGTCAATTTGTTATATTCTTAATTGTTATAAAAGCTAACGACAGTTATGATATATATAAATATAAATAAGATAAATATTCAAAACATCCTAATTCAACTAATTTTATATAATGCTACAGTCAAATGCAATTTTATTCTATCATCTATAATTTAGTCAGACTTAATTTTTATATTTTATTAGATCGTACCACGATCGCGTTTATGATATGGATAAATTTAATTATATAAATGTAATAATCTATAATAATCTAATTTTAATTGATAACAAGATAAATTCATCAATAATATGAAACATATGATAAAAATTTATTAAACAAAAAATTTAATTGTTTAATAAATTGTTTAAATATTTGATTATTTAATGACATAATTAAATTTATATTAATTATTTTTAAATTTATAATAAATTATTTATGAATAATTTGGAATGAAATTTTTATAACTTACTCGAAATAAATAATGAATATAAAATATAGAAATTTTATGTTTATGTAGTGGTCATCTAATTGTGGCATCACTGCGAAAGTGTATATAATAAAATGGTGAAAGATGGGTGTTGAGCTCTAAGAGGAATGTAATTCATTAAATAAGATTTGTGTTGATTATTAAAAAACATTAATTAATATCGGTGCGTTTTTTTGGCTATTATTGAATCATTTAAAATAATTGTGTATAATACATTGACCAATGTTGAAATGAAACAGAAGTGCGTCATGTATGGCGACTTACGGAAAATATGCGCTAGCCATACGCAGTTCGCCCCGCACGGGCTCTGCATTCTGTCGGATTAATGATCAATGGCTTTATTTGAGAAGCGATATACAAATAAAGTGCTGTTAGATGATACAGAAAAGCTGACGAGCGTCATTGAAAATGCAAGAACAATCGACGGACATACGGTACGATGCACGCTTAATGTATATTTTGACATTTGGTCGATAAAAGATGATCTTCATATATGTCGGATTTTCGCTCCAATCTCGTATCATTAAATCAACGACGGGCGTTATTGTTGATTACGTAGACATTCTGGATGCTTCTCTTGCATGTTTCAAAGATAAACAATTTTATAATATATATTTTATATAAATTTTTCTACATAAAATTTATATAATTAAAATTAATTTTGTACATATAATATATTAAAAAAAAAGATATATATGTTTGAAAAATATAGAAAAATATAATATTATTGGAATGTTATTGAAAATTTATATATAATATATATATATATATTATTATTTATATATATTATAGTTTAATTTATTTTTTAATTGTATATTTATTTAAAAATTATGTTTATTATGTTTATTAATGCAGGAATGATATGAATATATATTTTTATATTATATTTATTTAGGAATATGTGATTAAAACACAAAGAGGTCCATTTCCTGAGAAATTTTGGAGAGTTAGCAGACGCTACAATGACTTTGTACAGCTTAATTCAGCTTTATCAATATCTGGTATTGATCTGGCACTTCCTCCAAAGAAAATCATTGGTAATATGGAACCAGACTTCATAGCTCAACGTCAAATAGCCCTACAGGTTAATTATATAAAAAAATCATAATTATTAAATATTAATTTGATGTAATTATTTTATTTATTTTTAGAATTATTTAAACAATATACTAATGAATCCTATATTGGCTTCATCACTTCCTATGAAAAAATTCTTAGATCCAGATAATTATACAGCACCATTACATGGTATGATTTAATTATAATGATGAATGCAATAATTAAGTAAAAATAATATGATATATGTATATAAATAATAATATGTAAATAAATATGTTCAAGTCATAAAAAAATCTTATTTTAAATTATCAATTTATATTTAAAATTTAATTCATAAATAATTTTTATTTTTAGAAATAGCTTTGCAACAAGTGTCATTAGCTTTACGTAGCGATGCAAATTTTGAAGTTTGTAAAGCCATTCCTGATATGGGATGGAGGTTAAGGAAACATTATTATACTGTAAAAAATCGTCAAAATTCAAAACAAGAATTATTACTTGCATGGGTAGAATTTGGTCCAGATAAACATCTGCAAGATAAAGATATGCAAGGTGTTTTTAAAAGTTTAGGGACATTAAAGCATAATTATATAGAACCAATTGTTTATCAACATGTAACTGAAAATGGAGCATTAATGATAAGAAATTTTTATCCGACGGGTACATTACGTGACATTTTGTGTGTAACTAAACCTAAACAACCATTTATAAAGAAGTATGGAAATCCAAAACAAACCAAATCATTAACAGTGCCTGAAATTGCTATGTATGGTTACCAGGTAAAAATGTAATATTTCATATTAAGATAACAATAATAGATTTTGTAGCTAAATAATTCTTATTTTAGATTTTGGAAGCTTTAGGATTTCTTCATGAAAAAGGTCTACCGTATGGACATTTACATACAGGAAATATTCTTTTAACACAAAAGTGTGCCAAGTTGTTGGATGTAGAAAATGGTCTTCTAGGTTTACCAGCATTCTATCGTCCTTATGTTGTACAAAGGCGTAAACTTCATGCCACGGTATATTATAATAGAAAAATATCGTATAAATTCATCAATATAAATATATATATATATATTCTTTTTTTTCTTTACAGACTCAAGTAGATATTTATTCTTTTGGACATGTATTATATGAAATGGCATTTGGAAGACCATTGTTAGAAGCAACGTGTTCGGAATTACCATATTGCGATCTAACTTTAAAAAGTCTACTAGAGGTGATACTTTCACCAGAAGCCTTGAAACAGGATTTACCAACAATATCACATTTATTAGAACATCCATTCTTTGAATCAGCAAAACATACTACATTTGCTGTTGGATCCATAGAAAGACCACATTTCAAATTAAGTAGTCATTTGAAAGAAGCTTTACAAGAAGCAGTAAACAAAGCAGAACAAAGACTAAAAGAAGAACAAAAAGTAGCGAGACATCAAAAAAGACTTGTCAAAGTTCAAGAAATGATGAGTTCAGAGGAAGAAATGAAAAAGCGAAAACAAAAACTAGTAAAAAATACTATATATAAATATTGTATTAAAATATTAATATATTTCTTAAAATGAAAACACAAATGTTTCTATTATTTTAGAAGAAGGAACAAAAATTAGCCCAAGAACAACGTTCTGCGAATCAATTAAGTGCAAATGGAATAAAACATGTAAATGGCAAAAGCCCGGAACGCTCGGATAGTCCTACTAGTACTTCTACAGCAACCAGTGTTGGAACTTTAACGCCTCCATCGCTGCGTAAGTATCAAATTATTTTTTTTATTAATCTTTATTAAAAATTAACATTAATCAATATTCATGACTTTATATTAGCTGGACACAAAAGTTGATGGCGCATACTACGCTTATTTCTCTCACGTAGGTCATATGATCACTCAAACACTAATTATTCACGTTGATACATTTTTTCATATAATTATCGCTTGGATACATTTCGAGCACATATAATAATAGATTTAACATTTTAAATAATAGTATATCTTTATAAAAATAATGTAATTAATAGAAAATTAAATATAATATGTATCCAAACGACGTTATAAAAATTATATAAAGTTACAATCTATTTAACTAAAGGTTCTATAGATGTGCGACAAGGTGATGGAGTTCCTGCAAAAAGTACTGTACCAGCACCTCCGTCACAGATGCCTGCAACAGTTGATGTGACAAATAATGTCTCAAAATTGACCAACGAACGAGCTGCTCTGCTTGGAAGTATTTGTAATTTCAATAAAACTAGTCTTCGTAAAGTTGCCAATGAATATCATTGAGATAAGAGGAGATGATAGACACAAAAATGAGAGAAATGAGAGAAATTAATGCTGAATGATCATATTGATTTATCAAAAGAAGATAATGTATGATCACAATCTATACCAAAAGGATGTTATTTTTTTCATTGAATCATGAGATTTTATTTCGATCGCGATCCTTGTGAAATCTATATATATATATATATATATATTCTGTAGAATCAATTAACATGTATATTATGTAGAAATAGATAATTATAAATCGTATAATTACAAGTAAATATAAAATAATTCTATTTATATTCTATATTAAAAGCACGAATCAAGTTGTTAGAATCAAACAATATTTAAATATTATTTGTTGTTATTTTTTAATTCCTTAAACACCGTCCAATAATGGATTCGAATTTTTATATAAAAATATTAAATTATTTTTTTAAAAAGAAAGTTTCTTTAATAATAATGTAATATTATGTACAATTAATGTCATATACATTACATAATAATAAAATTAATTTTATCTTTAATTATATTTAAATTTATTGAAAAATTGTTAACATTATATTTATCAAATACTATTTTATATTTTAATTATAAATGAAGTTCATTAATTTAAATTCAAGTTTCGCGATCGAATTTTTCTCTTTCACACTTAGTTTATATTATCATATTTCATATTATTTGTATAAAAATATTAATGATAGAATGAGAGTGATAATACTTACGTTTATAGCATAAACTTTGTCTCGTTAATGTTATATACTATTCTATCTATTTAAAGTTATGGTATGAATACGTATTAGATGAATAGTTTATGGTATGAATAACGTATTAATGTACATATTCCACTTATCGTATAAAAATATTGTGTGTTGCTTTTATTGTATCGCTCTAGAATCAAAACTGTCTTTTTCTATGAAGAAAAAAAATGTGCCAAGATATACCTAATCTTTGAAAAATAGTAATGTCGGAAATGTATACGACGTAATATATTTCTATGTCATAAAAAAAATATATATGTACAAGATCTATCTGTGAATATCGTAATGAAATGATGTAATATAATTGATATTTTCCGTATGAATATTAATTTTAAATATAATTTGTTGAATTATTTATATAAATATTATTCTTCATAGAGTAATATAATTTGTAATAAGTAATAATAGTAATATTTATTTTTTCAATAATTTTGAAAATATATTAAAACAATTTTTTTATTTATTAAAGAAAAATATTAATAAAATTATAATTTTGAAATAAAGTTTGAATATTCAAACGTATTAATAAATACTGATATTTTATTAAATATTAATAAAAGTTGACTTAGAGAAATATTTATCTTATTATCTGTTAGATAATAATTATAATAATCTACATATTTTTTTAAATAATATAATATAGCGTGAAAAATAATTTATTAAAATGAAACAATGGCGTAAAACAGTCACATTACACTTTAAATAATACTCGCATATAGTACAACAGATTGCAAAAAATAGATTTCTTTTTGTGAAAATATTTTACTACTTATAAAAAAATTTAATAAATACAAAATATGTATATCTTTGTAGTATTTTTATCATTCAATGTTTTTAATATAGTTACTGTAAATTCTTACAATATATCAAAAATATACTTGTGTGCATATAGTTATTTAAATGTACAATAATTGATCACAAGCACGGTAATTTCGTCTTGTGTTCGACAATTAAGCGTTTTAAGATCCAACAAATTTAAGTTGGGTTTCAATCAAATCTGACTTACTTATATTATTTTGTTCATTTTTTTTTCTTTTCTTTTCTTTGATTACAATTATATTCGAATCATTTATACAAAAGTTTTTAGTATATGCAGAGTAAATTTAATGAATTATACAAAGATTGTGTCACGCTTGCATTCTATCATCACAAATTACGAATCTCGAAAATATTAAAAAATTAACGCATAAAAATGAACGATGATATGCAGTACAGTGGCACAGTTTCAGTGTTATGTTTTATGGAAGCTTTCGTAATTTGCGATTATATTAAAATTTGTTCTATAAACAATAGCTGTTTTTACATACGTTACGATGATTCCTTTTATGTGTATGCAGGAACATATATACATTACTATGTATGTGATAATGTAATTGAACGTTCGCGATATATGGCATTTTTAAGTCAACACGACTCGTATTTAAATTAAAATTTTCTCAAGAATATCACGAACATAATATCCTCTTTAAAAAAATGAAAAAAAAATAAAAAAAGGAACAAAACTAAATCACTACTGCCTGATACGTGCATTACATTACACAACTATATATATATTAGTTACATGTCGTACAAATGAACATCTTTGATTAATATCTATTGTCACATTGAAATTAAAATTTTATTTTTATATATATATATATTTTTTTTTCTTTTT